GATCCTTTCACCTTGAGCCGCAGCAATGGCTGGCGGTGGCCGCCGCCGGAAGCGGGGGGGGGGGAGGGAGCAGCTGGCAGCCGGACCTCCGCCCCCCAAGACACACAAACACACAGGCACACACACGTGCGTCCCCCGCCTCCCAAAATCCAAGGTTTCCTTGCCAAGACTCCTCCGCCGACAAAATCTTGCCCTGATGGGCCAAAATTCCCCCAACACCCTTCCCCTTTCCATCCCGATCTACATAATGGGCGCAACGGGGAGAGGAAAGGGGGCTTCAGATGCCCCTCGGTGGCTTGCGAGGGGGGGGCACGGAGGCGAAACCCTTTCCCTCGTCGGGAGCATCCTTCCCCCTCCCTGCCTTTGAGCCCCCTCCTCTTGTCTACACCTGAAAGGGAGCAGAAGCGCCAGCCCCGCTCCCCGCCCAAAGACAACATCAAGCCCTCAGCCTTGAGCCGGCGTTAGAGTCGGGGTTTTTTTCCAGAGCTTCCTTCCGGCAGATCCAGAATCCTCCAGGGTCTCACCCTCCCCATTTCCAAAAGAGCAAGCCCCCCCTCCCCCCCACCCAAAAAAAATCTGTTTTATAGTAAGTAGCTTTCCCTGACACAACTCCGGGAGGCAGTAGAAGACAGGAGGGCCTGGCGTGCTCTGGTCCATGGGGTCACGAAGAGTCGGACACGACTAAACGACTAAACACACACACAGCTTTCCCTCAGAGGACTACCACTCCCATGGCCTCACAAGCAGATAGGCTGGTTGTGGGATGGTAGAAATTGTAATCCGAGATTCACCTGGAGGGCACTAGGTAAGGGACAGCTATTTGGGGAGGGGGCGCCTGGTTATTTAATTAGGAACACGACAGGTGCCTCTACACAGAGAGAGCGAGAGAGACAGAGAGAGGGCATGGGTACAAGGTATGATTGCAAAAGAGAGCTTCTCTCTATAGGGGCAGTTTACCTTTGCATCTCAGCTCCTCCAAAGGGGGCCCAGCCGGGCCTTGCTCTTCATAAGGTTGGGGGCTCTATGGAGACCGGGGGGGGGCGGCTGTTCCCTCCCCAGGTGCTAGCTGGAGTCTGGCAGGGGGAACGCACACACACCCCTTTCTCCTGCTGGAATGGGTTTCCTCCTCCTAAATCCCAGAACTGGGCCCAGAGCGGAAGATTTACTTATTTGCAGAAAGGATGTATTTAATTGCTTTTCTGCCCCTGGGGTGTGTGTCCCCCAAGCAATGTATAATAAAACTGATAAACCTTTTTTAAATTTAAAAAGAAATAACAACACCACAGGTCAGAAACCCTTTAAAAAGCCAGTTTTAACCACCACCACCCCGGGATTGGTTACAGCTCCGGCAGCCTGTCAGAAACGTACAAGAGAAAATTCCAGCCCAGCTCTTCTTTGTGTGTGTGTGTGTGTGGGGAATCTGGAAATTTAGGGGCCGCCCGAGAGAAGGCCTGCCTCCTCAAGATGATGGGGGCATGGCACCTGTCGGTGAGGAGGGGAGGGCTTCAGCATCCAGGATGATTCTCTGCCGGACTGGGGTTGGTGTTTCTCTGGTTCCCTAACAAGGCCTCGCTCCCCACCTTTCGCTTCCTGCCGTCCTCCACAGTCATGAGAGCTAGCGACTTACTGCTCCAGTTTTGTTTTCCTTATTTTTGGGTAAAGGTGACAGAGGCCACAGGGTCAGACCCCTCAGCCCCAATGGCCCTTGTGGGGGGGAGGAGGAGGAAGGGGAAGGTTTTTCTTTTCAAGGTGCCAAGGATTTAGCCGCACCCTCGGTCGAGATGCAGCCGCGCTGAGGTAAGGAGGCCATCCGTGGTGGAGACCGACACCTGGAGAGAAGGCAAAACCTCGCACTCGCCTCCCGGTCAGGGCGTCAGCACCTTGGCTTTAGACTGCTTACTGCTAATCGCTACGGGAGAAACAGTAACAGTCCACAGTCATGGCTACTGGCCCCTGGCAAGGGCAACCCTTGGCCTGGAGGCCTCTCGTCCTGTGGGAGATCCACCTGCACGCGTTCTGTGGGAGACCCTCGGACCGTCCAAGAGCCCCACCCTGGGACCCCATTAATGAGGGGGGGGCGTTGGTTAGGGCAGGAGGAACCACCAGGAAGCAGCTCGGTCTAGCAGGAGAAGATGCTGTCCTGGAGTCTTGGGCGGCATCTTAAAGGCTAGCCCGGGAAGCCGTCGAGAGCCCTGTGTTACCCCGAAGGCTGGCCTGTTTTATTACGGCATGAAATCAATGACAAAAGAGTCTTGTGATGCTTTGCAGGCCGACAGGGTGGGTTGGGCCTCAGCGGGGGGGTGGTGGTGGTCTACATCCCACTCCCTCAAATACTGGGCGTGTTACCTGAGGAAGCAGCTGTTGGCTCTTTGTACAGGTGGGCTGATGGGGGGCGAGGGGTGACCCCCCCTTGAACTGTGCCTATTGGACAGTCATATTTGGACTTCAGTTGACTTTAATTACTTTGGAAGGGGGGTGAGGGGTGACAACTTCCAGAAATCTCCAGCCAGGGTTGGCCCGACGGAGCGGGCGCCGCTCTCCTCCTCTCTGCCCCTTTTCCCTGCCAACAACCTTGCAGGGTAGGCCAGGCTGAGAGACTGCTGGAGAGAGGGTTGAGCCCTCTTTGGAGGGCCTACCAGCTTCTCCCCGAGGCCTCCACCCCATTCAGGATATCCTTGGGGAGGGGGCTTGATCAGAATAGGAGTTTCTTCCCCCCCTCAAAAAAAAAAAAAAACACACCTGGATGCAGCTTCTAGCGGGGGCTGGGGAGGGTCAAAGGAAGAGCCCCCCTTCCAGGGCGAGCGAAGCCGGCTTCCCCATCACCACCACCGGGGCTGGGGCTGGGGCCTCTGCTCTCCATGGTGCTGACGCGATTCCCGGCCGCTCCTCTTATGTAGCAGCTCTGGAGAGTCTCTGCAGAACCAAGGGGTGGATATTTTTGGGGGGGGGGGGCTTGGCTTCAAATGGGGGTAGGAATCAGCTGTGTTGCCCCTGTTCCTGCACCACGAAGCAGCCGAGAGAGAGAGAGAGAGGCTGGTTCTGTTTTCCTTTTGCACCAATTTACAAAGCTGTCCTGGTTGCCATGAAGACGACCAGCCGAGGGGGGGTCTTCCTGTGAGCGCTGGGGGAGACTCGTCGCTTGTTGTGAACTAGAGTGATCAGAGGCAGCCACGGAGAGGGAGCGAGGCTCAGTGGGCAGAGCCCCAGCCTTGTAGGCAGAAAGTCCCCACTGAGTCCCAGAGAATCGGGGCCGGTGAGGAGGCCATCAGAAGCCCCTCTTGGAGGCTGGAGACTCGCTGGAAAGCAGCACCCTCTGCTCCACTTCCAATCTCCCCTTTCATGAGGTCTAGAAACCTGCTTTTCCTTGGGAACCTGTTGTGTGTGGAGGTGCAGAAGCCCCTCCCCCTTTTAAATACCCAGGATCTCCCAGTATTGTCAGGAAAAGACTCCTAAACAAGATCCAGGTGGGATAGGGTGGGGCGGCACTTCTGCCGATTGCTCCATCAATGGACTGACTGCAGGTTTAAGGTGGCCAAGGGTGGGATCCTGGCTCCACAAACCCTTCTCCTGAACTGGCAGACCCGAAGGGTGGCGACATCTTGTACCTGCCTTGGCATTTTCTAGCAACTCCTCGTGATCAAGTAGGGATCACAGCTGCCATGGAGGGGTGTGTGTGTGTGTGTGTGTGTACAATGGGCAGCCCTCCCGATGGGGCTTGACCCCAGGTCCTATCATCCCCCGCTGTGGCAGCTGGGGCTGATGGGAGTTGTAACCCAGCCCCTGTCCTTTGCTCACCCACTCCCTGTTGTGAGAAGAGGCAAAAGGGCCCTGAGGCA